AATGTACACTATCTGAGGATGCTACCACATAAATAGGACCAATCATGGCTTTGCTGTTCTTGAGAAGAAGATTTTTACTATGTGTTCCTATGTAAAACTTTGATCGCCCATTGTGGCCCCACCCGACCCCCGGGGGTCATGAGTTGAATAAATTTGAATCTACACTATCTGAGGATACTTCCATGTAAATATGACCAATCATGGCTTTGCTGTTCTTGAGAAGAAGATTTTTAAAGATTTTTCCTATATATTCCTATTTAAAACTTTGATCGCCCATTGTGGTCCCACCCGACCCCCGGGGGTCATGAGTTGAACAAACTTGAATCTACACTACCTGAGGATGCTACCATATAAATATGACCAATCATGGCTTTGCTGTTCTTGAGAAGAAGATTTTTACTATGTGTTCCAATGTAAAACTTTGATCGCCCATTGTGGTCCCACCCGACCCCCGCGGGGTCATGAGTTGAACAAACTTGAATCTACACTACCTGAGGATGCTACCATATAAATATGACCAATGATGGCTTTGTTGTTCTTGAGAAGAGGATTTTTAAAGATTTTTCCTATATATTCCTATGCAAAACTTTGATCGCCCATTGTGGCCCCACCCGACCCCCGGGGGTCATGATTTGAACAAACTTGAATCTACACTACCTGAGGATGCTTCCAAGTAAATATGACCAATCATGGCTTTGCTGTTCTTGAGAAGAAGATTTTTGAAGATTTTTCCTATATATTCCTATATAAAACTTTGATCGCCCATTGTGGCCCCACCCGACCCCCGGGGGTCATGATTTGAACAAACTTGAATCTACACTATCTGAGGATGCTACCATATAAATATGACTAATTATAGTTTTGCTGTTCTTGAGAAGAAGATTTTTAAAGATTTTTCCTGTATATTTCCTATGTAAAACTTTGATCGCCCATTGCGGCCCCACCCTACCCCCGGGGGTCATGATTTGAACAAACTTGAATCTACACTACCTGAGGATGCTTCCACATAAGTTTCATGTTTTCAAGCACAGTGGTTCTTGAGAAGAAGATTTTTTAATGATGCCATTAATTTTTCACGAATTCTTAATTATCTCCCCTTGGAAGAAGGCGTGGCCCTTCATTTGAACAAACTTGAATCCCCTTTACCCAAGGATACTTTGTGGCAAGTTTGGTTGAAATTGGCCCAGTGGTTCTTGAGAAGAAGTCGAAAATGTGAAAAGTTTACAGACGGACAGACGGACAGACAGACGGACAGACGGACAGACATACATTAGGTTATATATTGGGTACGTCAAGTCCAAGTCTTCTTGGATATTGCTTATTGGATATAAAAAAAGTGTACATACGAGAGAGCATTCTTTGGGTAGTAACTGTTTAAATCTTATTGGGTATAAATGCTTATGTCCAAAACTTTATTGAGATTTTTCTTATAATTCTTGATTCAAACCAAATTTGTGGTTGTTTAATTGTTTGCAGATAAATTAAGACAAGACTGTAAACCTTTGATTTGGAACACACTTTTTTCATACTATCTGTGAAATAGCTTTTTTGAGAAGTAAATATTGTTAGCATCCACATTATTACTGGCAAATTAAGATATATATTTAAAAATACCTCATACTGGAATGTGTTTACCTAAATGCAATACACATACGAAGACAACCCAACACATCTCAGACACCTGTTTAACCCTTCTTGGATACTAAAAACAAGCATTTGATGAGAAACCCAACAAGTCTTTTGAATCATGTCTGATTCCTATTGGATACATATAAACTTGTATTAGAATAGAAGCCAACAGGTATTGGACACCTGTCCAACTCCTCTTGGATACCTACATCCCTTAACAACATATACAACCCAACAGGTATGGACACCTGTCCAATTCCTCTTGGATACCTGCATCCCTTCATCAGAATACAACCCAACAGGTAATGGACACCTGTCCATCTCTTGGATACCTACATTCTACCCAACAGGTATTGGACACTTGTCCAATTCTTCTTGGGTTAATGAAATCCTTTCATCACAATACTACCCAACAGGTATTGGACACCTGTTCAACTCTTCTTGGATACCTACATTCCATCCAACAGGTATTGGACACTTGTCCAATTCTTCTTGGGTTAATGAAATCCTTTCATCACAATACTACCCAACAGGTATTGGACACCTGTTCAACTCTTCTTGGATACCTACATTCCATCCAACAGGTATTGGACACTTGTCCAATTCTTCTTGGGTTAATGAAATCCTTTCATCACAATACAACCCAACAGGTATTGGACACCTCTCAAACTCCTCTTGGATACCTACATTCCACCCAAAAGGTATTGGACACTTGTCTAACTCCTCTTGGTTATCTGCATCCCTTCTCTTAGAATACAACCCAACAGGTAATGGACACTCGTCCAATTCTTCTTGGGTTACTTGAATCCCTTCTTCAGAATACAACCCAACAGGTATTGACACCTGTCCAACTCCTCTTGGATACCTACATTCCATACAACAAGGAAATGACACTTGTCCAATTTTTCTTGGGTTACTTGAATCCCTTCATCATAATACAACCCAACAGGCATTGGACATCTGTCCAACTCCTCCTGGATACCTACATTCCACCCAACAGGTATTGGACACTTGTCCAATTCTTCTTGGGTTAATAAAATCCTTTCATCTTAATACAACCCAACAGGTATTGGACACCTGTCCAACTCCTCTTGGTTATCTGCATCCCTTCCTTAGAATACAACCCAACAGGTAATAGACACTTGTCCAATTCTTCTTGGGTTAATTAAATCCTTTCATCACAATATATCCCAACAGGTATTGGACACCTGTCCAACTCCTCTTGGATACCTACATTCCACCCAACAGGGTAATGGACACTTGTCCAATTCTTCTTGGGTTACTTGAATCCCTTCATAAGAATATAACCCAACAGGTATTAGACACCTGTCCAACTCCTCTTGGATACCTACATTCCATACAAAGGAAATGACACTTGTCCAATTTTTCTTGGGTTACTTGAATCCCTTCATCAGAATACAGCCCAACAGGCATTGGACATCTGTCCAACTCCTCCTGAATACCTACATTCCACCCAACAGGTATTGGACACTTGTCCAATTCTTCTTGGGTTAATAAAATCCTTTCATCTTAATACACCCAACAGGTATTGGACACCTGTCCAACTCCTCTTGGTTATCTGCATCCCTTCCTTAAAATACAACCCAACAGGTAATAGACACTTGTCCAATTCTTCTTGGGTTAATTAAATCCTTTCATCACAATATATCCCAACAGGTATTGGACACCTGTCCAACTCCTCTTGGATACCTACATTCCACCCAACAGGGTAATGGACACTTGTTCAATTCTTCTTGGGTTACTTGAATCCCTTCATAAGAATATAACCCAACAGGTATTGGACACCTGTCCAACTCCTCTTGGTTATCTGCATCTCTTCCTTAGAATACAACCAAACCTGCATTAGAGTGCAACCCAATAGGTATAAGACATCTGTCTATCCCTTGTTGAATACATATTTATCTGCATAAGTATACCACAGTCTAAAACTTCTTGAATACTGGAATCCTAACATTCTAAACTGGTTCAGAAAGTTTTCAAAATATATTTTACAAATGATAGGACAAGATATAAGCATTCTGCATCATAACTATTTGGCCGTTAATGCAAATGAAGCCAATTTTCTAAGCATGGTTGTGAAATTTGAATATTGCAACTTGGCAGTAACTCAATAAATCTAAAGCAACATAATGAAAAGATTTCTTCCCAAACCTTTACTTTATCTACCATGTAGTATCTGTAAATACCAACCAATTAAGAAATAGTCTCTTTTTTTACATTTAACTTCGAAACACAGAACAGATTTTACTTAAACATTGCCAGGTAGATATGTTAAAGGTACATAGACACAGTTCATATTGCCATTTTGTTTATAATTTTAAATTTCTAATTTAGTTTTAAAAAAAATTCAGTTTCATGATTTGAACTTGCAGGAATTCTTAAAATTCAGTGACAACAATATTCTTCATAACATTACATCAAACACCTGCATTTTTAAACATGGCACAAGGTCTGTTATTGTTTTTGTTTACTTTTTGCTAACTTTGCACACATCACTGCACACTTACTGACAACACTGGTGAATCGTTTTTTGCTTTCTACATTTTTATTCTCACTTTTCTTGATTACAGTTTTAATATGTCCTATTGATATGCCACAGAATTTCCACTTTTTTAAATACTAAGGATGAATTTTAGTTTGAGAAAATGCAAGAATGTACAGCAATCATACACACCCAAAATTCATTCTTTTATAATTTTATGATAAATGAAGTTTTATAACACGCTTTAATAATGTCAGTCTTCCTGGAGTGGTGTTTGTGTTCAAACATTCTCTGAAATATTCATGCACCTCCTTCAGTTTTGCCTCCATCCACTTTATTCATGCTGCAATTAGATCATCAGTACACATTTGTATTTGACTCTTGATTCAACTTCAAAGTGTTATCAGACGCTGGATGGGAACCAAATAGCAATAGGTCTCCTATGTGAGTCAAATGACCTAAAAAACAGTAAAATTATGCAAAAATGAAGGGGACCAATTAGACTTACTTAAATATTCTATTCAAGTGGAATAAAATGGAAATTTTCACTCAATTAATGTAATCAATCAAGATTTATATAATACAAAGTTTTAAATAAATGACATTTTCATCCCCATCCAAAGACTGATATAATTAAATAGGAGTATAGTATTCATAACATTTCATATTTACAGGCAATTCAATTTATAATAAGCTCTTTAAAAATTCAACATCTTTACCTTCCAGTGTGATATATGTCAATTTTCTGCAAGCATTTTTCACAGTCAGGCCATACACTGTTAACAGCACAAGTTTGGAAATGTCCACAGGCTCAATGACCCCCGGGATCTGCCTATAATGTATTTTATGGACGTCTACTGTATGATCCAAGTGATTTGTCAGCCATTGTTGTTGTTGGGGTGATATGTCAAATACCTGAAAACACAAAAGCAGTCTCATTAAGATTCTAGAAACTATTGTACATACTATATTTTCAAGTAAAGAAATTTATCAGTCAAACAACTATTTGAATTCCTGAGCTATATGTTTATTATGTAGACTGAAGTGTATCAAGCTATTAATAAATACCGTTAATCTGGAAATTTTTACTTTTTTTTGGTTACGTTTTTATTTTTGCGAATCTGGATCAAAAGAGTGTTGATTAATTTTTACGTTTAAAATTTTTGCGAATCGTCATTTGAACAAAGATATAAAAAGCTCTTAAAATTTTCTTAAACGTTTGTAAGTTACGCATGTACATACAATAAATTACGAATAAACATACAATATTAAACTATGCCAACGTTCAATAAAGAGATAAAATAATTAGAAAACATAAATCATCCAAAGTGTTGAAAGTTTTCATAACATTTTCATAAATCACACATGTACATAAAATATATATAACAATGTAATCTTTAAGTAATCTTTAGATAAAAACATTTAAGAAATAAATAACAAGTTTAAAAACTTCTCTGGGAAATGAAGTGGGTCGGTCACGTGATCAAATCCTGTGAAGGCCGAAGGCCTTCTCAGAAGATTTGATCACGTACCAACCCACTTCATTTCTCAGTGAAGTTTTTAAACTTGTTATTTATTACTTATATATACATTTGAGACGGACGATTGAATATAATCGAATATAAATATTGCACTAACTGCTCGCCGTAGATTTTGACAAATTACGCAAGGTGTAAATCGGCTTGAAAAGCGGTTACGCTTCAAATTCATCCGGCAAAGGATTCTGTTTTGAAGGGTATATTCTGTGAAAGGCTACATGTGATCAATTATAGTGAGCATATTGGTGTCTGGGAATTTTTGTGTTCATGAGAACGGTCGGAGAAACCATATGCGATGTTTAAAAAAACACAAGAAACACGTCCGATGTTTGATAATAAAAAGTTGGAGGAATTTCGGTCTGGAAGGGAAGGATGAAGACACATGTCCGGACCAGTTAACTTGAAATCAAGTATAAAATTTGATCAGAAACATAAAATCTACGATTTTAGTAAGGCATATTTATTATGATGTTGACACGGATACCCTGGCGACAGCTTACATTGTTAAGACAACGATCTCGATGATGGAGGTGTGCCTACCGAACTTCCGAAGTGTTTGTCTACTGTTTGTGGCGTGAGTGCATTACAATGTAATTTTCAAACAGATTTTCAAATTTATTGTGAGTAAAGTTTAATGAAAAAAAATTTATAGCATTCAGGGGTCTACAAGAAAAATAAGGATAAACGTTGAGACTATGCAGCTCAGACATGAAACTTTTAACACGTAGTTTTCTATTGTCTATGTAAAATCGATCAAGAACTGTATTAAATACTCGTTTACATTGTAAATAAAATGGTTATTATTTTACTTGCGTATTTTGTACATTTTTATACATGAAAAGCATGCTGTTTTGCTAAGTAGTGTAAGTCTTTTTAAGTAAATATTACTGCACTGTGTGAATAGGTCACGTAATGACCTATGACCTTCGAAAAACTTCATACAGATATGAAGATATTTGCTCTCTATATGTTTATTTAATAGAGAGATACCACAAATGTATATATTTTTTGTTGTTGATTTATTTTTCAGAAAAATATTTTTGCGAATGCAATACATGCGCAAATTTGCTAAAAATTTATCTACAGCAAAAATTTCCAGATTTACGGTATACTAGTCTTAACTGGTCAGCAAAGTTGACTTTTAAATCAACAAAAAAACAATTACTGTGTAGAATCCACAAAGAAACAATCTTGTCAAGTTCCTGTCCAGTTTGGTTCAATTTGCCCAATGGCTCACAATAGGATTGAAAAGTTAAAATTTACAGACAAGATGGACCATGGTGTACATTAAATTTTATTCATTAGATTAAGTTTCTCAGTAATACAACTTAATAATTAGTGTATTTGATATTGTTATTTTATTTTGTTGCTTTACTATTGTTTGTCCTGTTTACAAAAACAAACACAGCAATAGGTCGCCAAACCATAATGCACATAACGCAACTAAATTTCTGAAAGTCTAGGAAAACAGCTGATAAAAATAAATGGCTTTTTGTTGATCAAAAATTTCGGTCCGGCAGAAATTCATTTGGCCCTGTGAAATGCATCAGACTGTCGGTCCGAATGTCCAGTGTTAATTATTTTTTCAAGAACACTGAGCAATTTAGTTGATTTTCAATGATTTCTACAAAAGTGGGCAGATTTTTTCTGACCACAGTCAGAAAAAGCAAAATTTGAACCAGATGGAAAAAGCTACATGCACAGTATTCTTCATACACAAGTCTATTAAAGTACATGTCATTAAATACATTACATGCAAGCACTCTGAAATACATCTTGTTTTTGTTCTGTTTTAACTTCCATTTCTGGTAAATTTCATGTTTATAAATAGTCTATGTACTCAAATTTTGCTATGAAGATGACTACTGCTATACATAAAAACTTGACAGAACACTCATAATGACCATAGAAAACATTAGTTTATTTAAAAAAAAAAATTGTATGCAACCTCATGAATGTTTATTACCATTTTAAATTTTTACCATTTCTAATTTCAGACTTTTTAAATTCCCTCAGTCACAATTCTATGTCAAGTTCGGAAAAAAAGCCAAGGCTTCCAAGTAGACTGGGATAAACTCATCCACATTTGTGGAATTACATGAATGAATATCCTAAATATCTTTTCATAACCTAAAATTGGAAAATGTTCATTCCTTTCTTATCCCAAATAGATTTCTTGAATTGATAAGAAATGAATACTGTAAAATCTAACAGAAAGTATTTTTTGAGACTGAAAGAAAATGGTAAGAGAATGTAATTGATAGGGTATTCTGTCATGTAACATGTGTAATTGTACCTTTTAAAATTAACTAGTTGAAATCCCGTGCAAGCGCGGGGAATTGAATTTATACCACTACCGACAGAAAAATTCCAATAATATATATTGTAGTTTCTACCGACAGCCTACAGGCTTATAGCAGGAAAAAATACTTTGTTCAAAATTCTGCAGTTAGTTTTGGAGCAGAAGTAGATGTACGTCTCCACCCCCCTTCTCTCTCTTTCTCATTGTGAAAACTTGAAAAAATAACAATTTCATTTATTGACGTTTATTATGAAACTTGTTATACTATGTAATGGATATTGTACTTCAGATGCTCTTATTTCGTCAAGGATAGCAGCAGCGAATTTGCACATTTTACTAATAGATTGATTTTTTTTTTTTACATAAGCTTTTAATGCCTTATGAATAGGCCAAGTATTTGATACAAAAGACTGTATACAGAAAAAAAAACCCCTGAAATATATTGATTAAAGCACAAAATTTAACAACTTTACTTGTATTTAAACAATACCTAATATTCATTTATTAATTTCATTTTCTTTTTTCACGTAAGCAAGTTTATTTCGAAGTACAAATTGTACTTCGGGTTTATTGCCACGATGCTCTCAGTGAGAAGTATACAAATTTTACCGATAAATTTATTAGGAAAACCTACCAGGTACTAATAGTCTTTAGATACATTGTCATAAATATATTCACAACTTATAGCGTCATCGATGATTTACCATTATTTCAATGACCATTCACACAAAAGCTTTTTTATGCTCATACAGCTATAATCGCCTTCTTTTTCTTTTTTAGCAACGGGCTTGATGCTATATGATATTCTAGAAGTTTCTGTCAATATTAAGATCGGTGAATGCGAAAATAATTTGCACATTTCCCTTTTTCATCGGTTATCACAACTTATTTCTTTCATATTATTTAAATCAAGTTTTGATTGAATAATTCAGTGATGACGTTTTATGGAATAAATAAACGATTGCTTGTTGTCAGTTTCATTAAAAATTGCCAGTTACTTAGATCCGCCAACCGGAACCGCCACCGTATTCACCTTTTTGCTATTTCATGGTTGTTTATAGAAAATGAAAGTAGAATTTTAATCTAATGTACGATATTTACTATGCGAGTGAAATCTAAATATAGTTTACGTACACCACCTCATATCTAGAGTATTCATAGAGGAGTAAGTAAGAAGTCTGGTGCAGCCATTTCGGAGTTTACTTGCAAAATTTATTAATTTATAAGTATAAATAGTGTGAATTTTATGTGCAACACATTAAGTGCACTTACCTTGGCATATCTCTACATCATTTGGTAATTGATCCACCTGTGTAATGGTAAAATAAGAAATTTATCTCTACATTTTTAGATAAACCTTACTACATAACATGCAGAAGCCCTGTCATTATTTTTCTTTTAAGAAAAAAAAACACCTACCTTAATAGGTAAGGGTATATTTTTTCTTCATTAAAAGAAAAGTAATAACTTCAGCCAGTCAGGTGCCTGTGATTGCATGATGGGAATATGTTAGGTATGTTGTGAAATGTAGAGAGGCTGTGTGCCAAATCTTCACTAATTATACAGCAATTTTTATTTTCTTACATATCAGATGTGATTAACTTATATACAGTTATCTAGTTATTGTCAATTACCTCCATCTATCATCATCTCCGCTATCTTTACACTACATAAAACGATACCTAACAATTTATGGACAAACGATTGTCAAAATTTTTTTACCTTCTCCTATATACCTCGTCAAAACATACAAAAGTTTATTATTATATAAAATTTAATGATTAACACTTCTGATTTATCAAAGATTATGTGTACGTTAGTTTTCTAAATGCAGCTCGCGCCATATAAAGTCGATGAAGACAGAGGAAATTCCAAATACATACAAGTATCATTTAAATTAGTTGTTCTGATACTTATCCTACTGTTGTACACATTTACGTAAAAAATAGTACATTTTAATCAATTTTACATTTAAATCAAATTTACCTAAGCAAGACATCTATCAATGGGTAAATAAATCGAAGAAACTTACTTTTGCTCTTGTTGAGTTTACCTCGAGCGCTTCTTAATCGCCATATTTTTTGGTCAAAACAAAACGCCGCAAAGATCAAGACTAACGGAAGTTGATTTTCGGAACTCTCGGGGGTTACTTATGTTAAATTTAGCGTTCCGAGTGTAAAACCGAGATCGAAATACGGTGAGTCCGTAGAAACAACTTTTTCAGACATTTTTTTGGACAAGTCATCGTGTCCAAGTCGTGTTGGGTACTAACCGGCAAATACCCAATTAAGGCATTTTAAGTAAATTTAGCGACACTTCTTATTGGGTATACCCAATTAGCAAAAAGTACCCAATAAGTACCAATTGAGTATAAAAAGAACCCAATAAATGCACTCTCGTAAACACGGACAGACGGACAGACGGACTACAGACAAAATGTGATCAGAAAAGCTCACTTGAGCCTTCGGCTCAGGTGAGCTAAAAAAAAAAAAAACATGAAGTACGTCTGACGTCAAAGATTTAGCTCATTTTTTCCCTTAAAATAAAAATGGAACGAAATATTTCTAAATTCCAATTTATTACAACACATATTATGTACAGTTTTAACTTGGTACATTTGGTAAGGAAAATTGATAAAACTTTATTGCTTCAGCAAATAGTTCAACCACAAAATCCCCTCAAAACACAATCCTTTACCAATTTTCTCTCTTAACATTATTTAAAAAAAAAAAAAAAGAATAGAATCCCATGATGAATTGGTGGTTCTCGTCAGTTTGAGGCCTGGTCTTTCAATTTTGAATGTTCATCTGTTGAAAATAAAAGAATTAAATGATGTTTCAGAAAAATAGAAGGATATGTTTTACACCTCTTACGAATTTTCTAATAACCGTTTGATATGTTGAAGGAAATACCAAAGAGAAAATACGAGTTTTTAAGATTGAGTGTTGTTTACCTAGTGTCGTTTGATCATCATCCTGGTCCCCCTGATAGTTGATCCACTCACTACTGTAGGATGCCATGGAGAGGACCAGTCTGCCGAGGACCAGGGTCCATTAAGGAAGGCCTGGTGACAGTAGTTAAACCACCAGCCTCCTCTAAAGTAAGCAGCACAGTGACCTCCCCAGGAACTTTCACTATTCCTGTCGTTATCTCTGTCTTGTGTACTGAATGACACATTCCCCGAGTATAACATGCTGTCACCTGTACAGAAAATACATCACAGAGATAATTGATTGATTTATTTAAGAATTGAATCAATATTTTATGCAAGATATAGTCTCATAACTGCAACGGCGTGTGCAAACAAATTGTGTATCGCGCGTTAGCGCTTATATTTATATTTTTAACTCCTTGCCTTGATTGCAAATTTGATTCAGATTTCAAAATCCCTGTATTATCCTTAGGGTATGTTACAATTAATGGAAGAGACATTGCAACAGCTTCTGTTCAATGTTAGTGTGAATTTTGATTTTAATTTTCACTTATGACGTAGCATTTCCACAACATTTGTGACGTCAAAATAAAACGCATTCTTAAAGCTTTTGACCCCCAGCCCGTGTTATGGTGTTCTGAATGTCGTAGCTTTCCTCACACTTTATAAGCAAAATACATGTGGAATGTCAATATATATCACATTAATCTTATCTTCAATAATACTGAAGTACATCTAAGATAGACGGTTTCTCGTGCTGCCTTCTGTACATAACGATAATATTTATCAAAAATACAATACAAAACACTGTGCAATTCATATAGCATCCTTTCTAATGGAACAATGAACCCCAGGCGCGTTACACTTTTAAGTATGATTATTATTATTATTTGGGTAAAGGTCACTGGAAATATTAGAAAAATGAATATATTAAAAATGGATATATGTAGAGACCGTGCCTTTAAAATGTAAAAAAATGCAATACGAAGCAAAGCATTCAAAATGATAACAATGTAAGAAATGATGTACCTTAAATGTTTTAAATTGTTAGATTTTCATTTAATATAGAATAGGTATTGTAAAAGTGAAATGCACTGATATATTTTGATTTCGGCTGTTTTAATTTGAATATGTTCCGATCAAATAATTTTCTTTGAATATCAAGCTTTTGTGAACATGCCGACATAACATATTAAATACGCACTGTAAAATTTCTATTCCGTAGTAGTTAAAAATGTGAATTAGTGAAAATCATCAAGAAACCTAAGCTAAATAATAATGGAGGATCAAAGGTAGTTACTGGATATACTAGTTACAAATAATTTAACATAATTTTCTTTGTTTTTAAAATATATAATTTAAAATTTCAACTACTTAGCGATAACTAATTCAATATCCCCGGAATTCGTGAATTGTACCTACAAATGATATCGTGAAATATTAAAAACGTTTAATTAACACGGAATCAAAGACGTTTACAGAATATTAGAAAAAATGTATCTTTGTCTCTTTTTTCAACAACTTAATAAACTTTCTATGCAAAGAAGTATATGATGGTGCACTTGATTTAAACCCAATTTAAGAACATAGCTTAAATACACTTACCTAAGGTTCCCGTAAAGGGTCTTGCAAGAAAGAGTTTGAAATTATCTGTATCACTGGAGACCGAGAATCGATCGTACATTTCATACAGCGTTGTACCATTCTGGAGAGTATATGGACACATAAAGGAATGATTTGTTTTCTTTTGTCAACTGATGTATTACGTCATTTCCTGATTTAAGATAAATTTAAAATCAACTGTAAAGTCCATTGCAATACAATAGTTCTATTTTGAATATGAATATACCCTCCTGAAAAATCAAATTATTTTTCCTAAGCTGTAGACGTTGATGCAAAATTTGGTCTCTTTCCAAGACCCTCGCGCTGAGTGATATAATCCTCTTGCTCTTATTTTTTTCTTTTTATGTAAGATTTCAATTAAACACGCTCATTGAGGATTGTCAAAAACATATCACCCAGTCTTAAAATCAAATATTTGATACGCTTCAATTTATTTATCTGCCACAAGAAAGAAAGTCTGTCAAAGTTTGAAGCGGATGAAAGTCCCTATTTGAAAGTATATACACCTACCAACCCAGACTTCCTGTTCTGGTGAACCAAAACCATTTTTATATTCCGTCCAGGTCCTCTCAAAGCTCACAGATCCGTCTACACGTTTTTGGATTGCCTTTCAAAGTGAACATGTATAGCAACACAATTCATTGTTTCAAACAATTGAATGATCAATATGACATGATAAATACTATAATAATAATATTATAATATATCTAAATATATTAATATCATTTTTATCCTATATTCTTTTGAACAACAAAAACACAGAGTGCGAATTATATAATGTACTCTTATTTTGAAATGTATTACATACCGTCCATCCTCCGTTCATTGTCTCCATGTCGCAGTAAACTCTGACAGGACTGGTAATGGTGCCATAGGGATAAATGTCGTACACCCCCTGAATAAGTGTGTCCATCTGCATGAACATCTTTACAGTCTACGGGAATAACTAAAGCAGAAAAATCTACAATCTACATAAATCACTAAAAATAAAAAGAAAACAATGCTGGAATCATATTATGTATATATACAGCTAGTGATGGGTACACTATACCTGCAAGAATAATGAAGGTTAACCCTCTTCCCCGCAGTCACGCATTTTAACGCATATACAATTTCCTATTTCTAACGCAAAATCACGCATATACCGTTTCTCCGCAATCACGCATTTTTCACGCACTTTCAAAAGTAAATTTAATCTTCAATTTAATGCCAATTCCCTTCTAATTTATACCTGCTAAAATCTCATAAAATAAGAAAAGTTATAATCTTATTAAAATATTACGTCATAATTATTTAAGCTAAACTTTAGAGAAACTTGTACCTCGCTATAAAGTGCTTGCGGGGAAAAGGTGACGGCATATTTCTATGACATGAACATTAAGTGTATGTTGCGTCACAGTTCAGAAAGTTGTAAAGAGTTAATTGCTGAAGTTAAGTTGTGAACTACAAAGTAGATTTTGTTAAGCTGCTTCTCTTTACCTAAAATTATTTACGATTAATAAATTCTTTTAAAAAAAAATACCGGGCGACAGAGAATGCTTAGTAGTCAATGGCGTAGGGTTCCCATCTCAGCTTTCAGAATAAAATATATGGAGATAACGAAGAGTATTCAAGCTCAAAAGTCCATTTAACAATACAAAATAGGAGCAGAGCAAACACGGACCTCAAAAACATCAGAGGTGGGATCAGGTGCCATGGATGAGTGAGCATCCCCTGCCTACCGGTCACACCCGCCGTGTGCTCCTCGTCATGATCGGGAAATAACGGAAAATTCCGTCGACTATTCAGTGTGTAAATAATGGCCTAACAAATAGTATGAAAAACGTCAATTAGCATTTGACTCAATGGTAAATTGTATTTGCTGACAAAGTCATTGTATCGACCATAGAACTTACGAAATGATGACTTTAACAGTTACTAGCTTGAAGTGCATCCTTGTTAATTTTTTTAGTCAATTATAAACAACAGTTTTCTAATGGTTGAGAATGATACAATTTTATTAAGCTTGAAATATATTTCATTTCTGTATTGTCACAGTGTAAGCTTTGATCTTTTTCTCATTAGTATTTCCTTTACAGTAGAAGCTCAATTTTTTTTTTTTTTTTTATCGAAGATAATATTAACAGAGAGAAAAAAAAAATAGGAAAAAAATATAATTACATCAATTTTAAATTCAGTTTTCATTCGAAATAAAAGTAATTAGAAAAAAAAAGTAAACAGACAGGACTGTTATTTAGAATAAATAATGTTGAGCGATAAAAAGTAATGATGTTTATGTGATTTCTGACAAACGGAGATAAATAACAGTTATACATACAGTCATGAGAGTAGTATCTCCAGCCCCCCTCCTTAGACATCCCAGACGTGAAAATCTTCTTGTGGTTACGACATTTCTTCATCTGAGGATTAAATCCATAGAAACTACACTCCCTTTGACAGTGCGCTGCACATTCTCTCACCGATGTAGAATTGTATTCTCCTAAAAGTTCGTCATT